CAGGGAGAATTTGTATTGAGACATTGCATTTTTTACCAGAAGGAAAGCTTCATTGAACTAAAATCCCATTGTTCCTTTATTAAGCCAGTCCCAAAAGAGGATAAACAAATTTGAATGCTGCATTAGCTCTGGATCTATTTGGGCACCTAGAAAGCTAAAACATTTATTTTCCTAAATATTATGTGCACAGTGTGAATTTGGCCACCAAAGGCAGTGTGCATAAAGGTGCATGTCCTAAGAAGGCATTTTTCTTCATCTTTGGGGGGAATAAAAAATTTAGTTCTTCATTGCTGTGACTACTATGAAAGGATGCTAATCTCCAGGGTGAAAGTTTATTTTCCATAATTTGCTTGCCTACATAGGGTCTTAATTTAGCACAGTACCATATTTGGTAACTGAATTTCTAACACTTAATTCCAATAATACTGATTGAAAATATAATAGAAATGGTAAAAAATAACAGTGACTTTTTCCAAAACCTGTCATGCCCAAAGGTCTTAAAGAGATTTGCTTATTCATTACCTCCCAATACTCCTGTAGCAAACTTGATGAGAGTTCCAGAGATTCAAATAAGTATCTCAGGGCTCACTCCATGCTGGACTCTTTCCCAGGCTCTTTATAGTTATCATAATTTTCATATATGAAGTATGTATAATTAGCCTTAATTTAGGCACGGAAACTGAGATAGAGAATTTCCATAGTTTATACAAGGTAAGACATCTAATAACTGAAGAAGTTGATCCCCCAAGACAATTCTTTTTGCAAACTGAGGGCTAATCTGGGTTTTAATATAACTAGAATTAACTTAATCATTATGTTTTTTTGATTGCTTATTTCTTTTGCCCAACTTCATAAGAACTTAATGCATAAGGATCCAACCCCAAGTCATACTAAGTACTGTGATTTTGTTAAAATAACATCCCATCTCATATGATTGTATAGGGACAATAAAGAAAAGTGCCAAATTCACTGATGGTGATGACCATGCAGTCCATTTCTTTTGTAATTTTATATTCAGAGCAGAGTGTCCCAAACATATCTTATTGAAAAAAGAAGCATCAAATGTAATTATATAATTGTCTGTGGGCCTCTTTGAAAGGCATCCCTTGCCAATTCTGGACCTTTAAAGCCATGGGTTTTTATTTAAGGGATTGTTTCTTTAAACTGCCAGACTTGTTTATGGAACATCCTTCTGGTAATTAGCAGGACATTTTCTTCTCACATTTGACCGACTTAGTCCAGTAAGCCCTAGAACAAGGCAATTCCACTTAAAACAAAAAAAAAGCTATTTTTTATTTGTCGCGGAACTTAATTAATTGGTATGTGTGTGATAAAAGTTGGCCTGAATTCTAATGGATTCATGTTTTTTAATGATAAAAAATAACATTAAACTTACCATCTCTCATTTTTAAGTAAACAATTGTAGTGTTATACAACAGAGTTCTCAAGGTTCTTCATCTTGTAAAACTTAAATACTCATTAAGCATAAATTCCTCCTCTTCCTTTTCCATAATCCTTGACAACCACCATTCTACTTTGTTTCTATAATTTTGACTAGTCATATAAGTGGAATCATGTAGTATTTGTCCTTTTGCGGTGGTCTTATTTCATTTAGGGTAATGTCCTGAAAGTTCATCTACATTGTAGTTATGACGAGTTCTTTTTTTTTTTTTTAAGTTGGGTGATATTCCATTTTGTGTTTATGCCACATTCTCTTTTTCCATTCATCCATCTATACACATATATAGGTTGCTTCCATCTCTTGGCTATCGTGAATAGTGCTGCATTGAACATTGATGTGCAAATGTTAACTTCAAGATCTTGCTTTGAATTTTTTTGGATATATACCCAGAAGTGGGGTTGCTGGATCATATGATAATTCTATTTTAATTTCAGAACCCCCATACTGTATCCCATAGTGGAGGCATCATTTTACATTCCCACCACTTGTTACTTCTGTTCTTTTGATGGTAGCCATCCTCATGGGTATAAGGTCATATCTCATTATGGTTTTGATTTGCATTCTCTTATGATTAGTGATGTTAAGCATCTTTTCATATGCTTATTGTCCACTCATATATCTTTGGAGAATTGTCTATTTCAATCCTTTGCCTGGTTTTTAATCAGATTGTTTGTTTTGTTGTTGTAGTTATAGAGTTATAGAAGCTCCTTATATGTTTTGGACATTAGTCCCTTATCAGATATATGATTTGCAAATATTTTCTCCCATTTTGTAGATTATCTTTTCACTCTGTTGATTGTTTTCTTGGATGTACAGAAGTTTTTCAGTTTGATTTAATCACATTTGCTATTTTTGCTTTTATTGCCTGTGCTTTGGGTGTTATAGTCCAAGATATCATTGTCAAATCCAATGTTCTGAAGTTTTTACCCTATGTTTTCTCCTATGAGTTTTCCAATTTTAGGTCTTACGTTTAGGCCTTTAATTAATTTTGAGTTAATTTTTTTTTTTAATTTTGAGTTAATTTTTGTGTATGGTATAGGGTAAGGGTCCAACTTTATTCTTTTGCATGTGGATATCCAACACCATATGTTGAAGAGACTATCCTTACCTCATTGTGTAGTCTTGGCACTTTTGTCTTTTTTGTGTGTGTGTCCTGAAATTATTAGTTTTAACAGTAGAGTTTTTTTGTGACATCTTTAGGGTTTTCTACATGTGAGATTGTACCATCTGCAAAAGGAATTTTATTTCTTAATTTCCAGTTTGGATGCTTTATTTCTTCTTCTTGTCTAATTGTTCTGGCTAGAACTTCCAATACTAAGTTGAATAGAAGTGGCTAGAGTGGGCATCCTTACATTGTTCCTAATCATCAAGGAAAAGCTTACATTATTTCTACTAAAATATGACAAATAATAGAACTTTTAGGACTGGCTACTTGTTTACTGGCTATTAGTTTACTTTCTGGTCAATCACAAGGATAACTATGTTTTGCAAAGTACATAGTAATAGCTAATATGAATCAAATGCTTGCTATGTGTTGGACACTAGACTTCAAGTACATTATATGCTGTATTTTATTGAATCCTTACAGTAATTTTATGAGGCTAAAGAAAACACTAGTCACTGAAGGTCCTTCAGGACTCAAAGCTGACGTTCATTATAGAAAGATAAATGTAAGGAAACATATAACTCTATTTTTAATAGCTTAGCAAGTGACTGGCCTAGTTTTGAGAAAGCAAGATAGACAATGGACCCACAGAGGCTTTTTATACCTGATTGGAATCCAGAAAACTAGAACCATTAACTGCTAATATTATCTTTATAAGCAGATGAGCAATACATATTTGGCCTCAGAAGACCTTATTAAAAGCAATAGATGATGACTAAATAAAATCAAATGCCCTCAGTTTTCCTTCATTTATTTGTCCTCTAACAACCACTATTCAACTAAAACTGATAAGGATGAGAGATATAATAAGATGACAAGAGGGACACCTGAGTGGCTCAGTCGGTTAAGTGTCTGATTCCTGCTTTCAGCTTAGGCCATGATCTCATGATTATGAGCTCAAGCAATGTGTCAGGCTCACACACTAGGCATGGAGCCTGTTTAAGTTTCTCTCCTCTCCCTCTGCCTCTCTCGCCCTTTAAAAGTATGGCAACAAATGTAATTAACTTTTGTGAGCTTTATATAGATTCCTTTAATTCCCTTGATAATCCTAATGACCAGTCCTATTTTTTTTAAAGATTTTATTTATTTATTCATGAGAGACACACAGAGAGAGGCAGAGACACAGGCAGGGAGAGAAGCAGGCTCCATGCAGGGAGCCTGATGTGGGACTTGATCCCAGGACTCCAGGATCATGCCCTGGGCCAAAGGCAGGCACTAAACTGCTGAGCCACTCAAGGATCCCCCCCACCCCCAGTTCTATTTTATATAGTTGAAGAAGATGAAGCTTCAAGATACTAAAGAACATATCCATGCTTTATAGCTACTAAGTGACCAGTGACATTCCCACGAGATTGTTGAAATTAAACATGTGTAAGTATGTTTATTTTTCACGAAGATTGGTGATAATAGTGAAGTAAAATCCTTTGACTATTTTATTCAGTCAAGATCAGCTGTGACTGTTAGAATATAAGGAAAACCCATACTTTCTTTTTGTAGTTGTGTTAAATTAATTTCTTGCATAAGAATAATAGCTAGAAAAGCACTAACTGAATACATCTACAGAATATACCATTTGGAAATGAAAAACTGCTGAAAACAAATTTAAAAAATTAGTTAAAATATAAAAAGTTAGGGGCACCTGGGTGGCTCAATCAGTTAAGCGGCTGCCTTTGGCTCAGGTCATGATCCCAGGGTCCTGGGCTGGAGCCCCCTATCAGACTTCCTGCTTCATGGGCAGCCTGCATCTCTCTTTCTCTCTCAAATAAATAGAATCTTTTTTAAAAATAAAATAAAATATAAATAACTAAAAATGAACTTTGAGTCTTTTATAAACTGCCTTTCATGTTTTGCTTTTGACCTTTTGATTTTTTTTTAGAGCTTTGAAAGGCAATTTTTAAAGTCAGCTTTTTTTTTTTTTAAGATCTTACTTATTTATTCATGAGAGACTGAGAGAGGCAGAGACATAGGCAGAGGGAGAAGCAGGCTCCCTACTGGGAGCCTGATGCAGGACTCAATCTCAGGACCCCGGGATCATGCCCAGAGCCAAAGGCAGACACTCAACCACTGAGCCACCCAGGTGCCCTGATAACTTTGTTTTTAAAGAGATGACATCTGTGTGTTCTTCTGAGTGTCCCTATTAACTGTGAGTATTTGTGTGCATTTGATGATTTTACCCAATTAAATTGTAAAAGTGGTAGTTTTAGTGTAGTAAGTAGAATATAGGAAAGTATATGTAATTTAAAAGCTTGTATAGTTACTTTGAAGATTCTGTTAATAGATTTGTGATTATGTCTTTTTAGTAGACAACAGAAAGGCTATAATATTAGAAAATATGTGGAAAAAACATAACTCCTGTCCTAATCTAATTTTCAGGGACATCTCCAGACTTTGATTTGGCTGAAGTAACTTATCCCACAGAGCTGTGGGCATGCCTGGAATTGAGAGACACAGTTAAAAGACTCCCAATTGATTCCTACCTTTGAAAACTCCTGAAAACCATCCCTTCGGACTCTGGAATTATACACATCTCAACCAAGACTTTGCCTGGATGTTTACATTTTCTGCTTGCTGTCCTATATACCACTATATAGTGTTCACCTTTTGTTGAAACTTTGGAGTGTCAGGAGTTGAGCTTGGCTCATTCTGAGTTGAGCTTGGCTCATCCCAGCATGGCTAGGATGAGCTTTGTTTTAGCAGCTTGCCAACTGGTGCTGGGCTTGCTAATGACTTCATTAACTGTGTCTTCCCTACAAAATAGTGAGTGTCCACAACTCTGTGTATGTGAAATTAGGCCCTGGTTTACCCCACAGTCAACATACAGAGAAGCCACTACTGTTGATTGCAATGATCTCCGCTTAACAAGGATTCCCAGCAACCTTTCTAGTGATACTCAAGTGCTTCTCTTACAGAGCAATAACATCGCAAAGACTGTGGATGAGCTCCAGCAGCTTTTCAACTTAACTGAGCTAGATTTCTCCCAAAACAACTTTACAAATATTAAGGAGGTAGGGCTGGCAAACCTGACCCAACTCACTACTCTACATTTGGAGGAAAATCAGATTACAGAAATGACTGATTACTGTCTGCAAGACCTTAGCAACCTTCAAGAACTCTATATCAACCATAACCAGATTAGCACTATTTCTGCTAATGCTTTTTCAGGCTTAAAAAATCTTTTAAGGCTCCACTTGAACTCCAATAAATTGAAAGTTATCGATAGCCGCTGGTTTGATTCAACACCTAACCTGGAAATTCTCATGATTGGGGAAAACCCTGTGATTGGAATTCTAGATATGAACTTTAAACCCCTCTCAAATTTGAGAAGCCTGGTTTTGGCAGGAATGTATCTCACTGATATTCCTGGAAATGCCTTGGTGGGCTTGGATAGCCTTGAAAGCCTGTCCTTTTATGACAACAAGCTGGTCAAAGTCCCTCAACTTGCCCTGCAAAAGGTTCCAAATTTAAAATTCTTAGACCTCAACAAAAACCCTATTCACAAAATCCAAGAAGGGGATTTCAAAAATATGCTCCGGCTAAAAGAACTGGGAATCAACAATATGGGGGAACTCGTTTCTGTGGATCGCTATGCCCTTGATAACTTGCCTGAACTCACAAAGTTAGAAGCCACCAATAACCCCAAATTATCTTATATCCACCGTTTGGCTTTTCGAAGTGTTCCTGCCCTGGAAAGCTTAATGTTGAACAATAATGCCTTGAATGCTGTTTACCAAAAGACAGTAGAGTCTCTTCCCAATCTTCGTGAGATCAGTATCCACAGCAATCCCCTGAGGTGTGATTGTGTCATCCATTGGATTAACTCCAACAAGACCAACATCCGTTTCATGGAGCCTTTGTCCATGTTCTGTGCCATGCCTCCTGAATATAGAGGGCAGCAGGTAAAGGAAGTTTTAATCCAGGATTCAAGTGAACAGTGTCTCCCAATGATATCTCATGACACATTTCCAAATCATTTAAACATGGATATTGGCACAACAGTTTTCCTAGACTGTAGGGCCATGGCTGAGCCAGAACCCGAAATTTACTGGGTCACTCCTCTTGGAAATAAGATAACTGTGGATACACTTTCAGATAAATACAAGCTAAGTAGTGAAGGTACTTTAGAAATATCTAACATACAAATTGAAGACTCAGGAAGATACACTTGTGTTGCCCAGAACGTGGAAGGGGCCGACACACGTGTGGTAACAATTAAGGTTAATGGAACCCTTCTGGATGGTACCCAGGTGCTGAAAATATATGTAAAGCAGACCGAATCTCATTCTATTTTAGTGTCCTGGAAAGTTAATTCCAATGTCATGACCTCAAACTTAAAATGGTCATCTGCCACCATGAAAATTGACAATCCTCACATAACATATACTGCCAGGGTCCCAGTAGATGTTCATGAGTACAACCTAACACATTTGCAGCCTTCCACAGATTATGAAGTGTGTCTCACAGTGTCTAATATTCATCAGCAGACTCAAAAATCATGTGTTAACGTCACAACTAAAAATGCCGCCTTTGCACTGGACATTTCTGATCAAGAAACAAGTACAGCCCTTGCTGCAGTAATGGGATCCATGTTTGCCGTCATTAGCCTTGCATCCATTGCTGTGTACATTGCTAAAAGGTTTAAGAGAAAAAACTACCACCATTCATTAAAAAAGTATATGCAAAAAACTTCTTCAATCCCGCTAAATGAGCTGTACCCACCACTCATTAACCTCTGGGAAGGTGACAGCGAGAAAGACAAAGATGGTTCTGCAGACACCAAGCCAACCCAGGTTGACACATCCAGAAGCTATTACATGTGGTAACTCAGTGGATATTTTGCTTCTGGTAGTAAGGAGCACAAAGACGTTTTTGCTTTATTCTGCAAAAGTAACAAGTTGAAGACTTTTGTATTTTTGACTTTGCTAGTTTGTGGCAGAGTGGAGAGGACGGGTGGATATTTCAAATTTTTTTAGTATAGCGTATCGCAAGGGTTTGACACGGCTGGCAGCATCTCTAGGCTTCCAGTTTGTGTTTGGTTTTTATTCTTATCATTATTATGATTATTATTATTATTATATTATTATTATTATTATTATTTTGTTTTAGTTGTTGTGCTAAACTCAATAATGCTGATCTAACTACAATGCTCAATAAAATGATTAATGACAGGTTGGGGTTCCCCTGTGCTTTTACCCCTTCTTCTGAAGCCATCAGTAGAAAGTATCATGTCCTCCAAAAAGCTAACATACAGTGTGAAGCAGCATTGAACCTTTTGTAGCAATCTGGTCTACAGACTTTTAACTCAAGAAGCTAAGACTAGATTTGTTACCTTATTGAATGATGTTAGTTGACTGTACTGTAATGTTGTATCAACTGAATTGAATGTTTGCCTTTGAACAATGACTTCTTTTTTTGTAATAGTTAAAGAGGCTTAGAACAAGCTAACAGGCAATAGAAATATGTATATCAGATTTTTTAATGTAACAAACTACATGTTAATTGTTACCTTATTCTTTTTATCTTTAGTAGACACTTTTAAAAGAAAAGACAATTTTGTTGTGTTTAACTCACCAACATGTGGTGTTTAATGAAGACAGAACTATAATAAATTAGTTTTGTTCTGATTTTTTAGAACACTTGCAATAATGTATCATTTATAGTTCTTGCTAGTTGCAGTGGTGATATATTTCACATCCCTAAAACAACCACCAAAATAAATCAACTAAAGCATGATGCTTTTTAAAACTAGGCCCAAAAAAGTTTTGAATTCTTTTTATATTCAAATAAAATATCTATTTTAGTGAAGATATTTTAATGAAAAGTATTTCTATATTTTAAATATTACCAATCAGACCTAATGGAGGGTAACATTCTTATGAACAAAAGCATATTACTGTATCCCATACGTAAATGTCGTTTAAAAATAGAGATAGACACATTGATAAAGAGATAGATATGTCACATTCCTTTTCTGTAAGGGTTTTGTTAAAATCTGAATTTATTTAGTAGTATCCACACTCTCCATCAAAGTCTAAAACATACAGCTATGCAGTATCCCAAAATATATGTTATTCCTTTTTTTAATGGCTTTCTATATGCTAGACCCATATTAGCCCATATATCCATGTAGAGATATCTGCTGAGACAAGTAAATGGTTAATAGAAAACTGAACAACTTCTGTACATTTGGCATTTTTCAGCCAAATAATATATAGAGACAGTTTGGCAGAATTAAATGTTTACTGGGAAATGTATGTATGACATTTAGGACAGAAAAAAAAAGCTAGATTTAGGTAGAAGGTCAGTTCCACAAAGTATGTGTGTTGGGGGATGTGGGGGGAGAATTGAAGATATAGTTAGAAGAACAAGGAACCATTTGAACATGCAGATTAATAATACAGAGAAATAAAGAAAAGCTTCTCCAGATGGCACCTGCTGCCAGGGACATGCCGTCACACCAAGAATGATAAGACTGTAAAAGGAGACTGAGTGCTAGCAGGTGCCAGCTGAGCAAAAGCAAGAAGGAAGCAGAAAGAACATGCAGGTGAGGCAAACTGAAAGGATTTCTTTCTTTGTAAAATTCCTTGTTTCATGAATCATTTAGGAAAAAAAAAGATAATTTTTTTCCCATTTCTAAAGGGGAAAAGTTTTTTTCATATGCTAAAGCAAATAAGCTGCAGCAGCAAAACAAGCGTATGAAGTAGAAGCATCTCTTCCCACAGCCTTCATTTCTTGGTGAGAAAAACTAATACCCAGAGAAGAATTGTAACTTGCCCTGGTCAGACTCTCCCGCCCACTGAGAACTGCACTCTCATCTTTTGCTCTGGATCCTGCGGCTCTCTAGACTCCTGTGCAGAGCTTGTCTCTCACAGTTCTCAACAACCTCTAGTGATCTCGCTTCAAAAATGCATTATATCCTCAAATTCTCATTTACTCAGGACAAAATTCAGCACAAGGGCAGAACTGGAGGGTCAGGAAAGCTTCTCCATTGTTGACATTACCAAGTACATACATGTAGGAAACCCAAAGAATTGAAATTGCTTTGAATGCAACCATGGGGAAGTTTCCTTTTTGGGTGATTCTTGTCTTCAAATGTCTACAGATAGTAATACACCATCTAACAAACCCCTGGTAATTCTGCAAGCAATGAAGGGGAGTGGCACCAAAGCATTAGGCCTAGAGCAAGGAGAAAAGAGGAAGCATTGTTAATCCTATAAAGCAATGATTTGAACCTGGCACATAGTCATCACTCAAATACTAGTGGAATAAATGAAGGAAAACAACCATTTCTCTATTCTGGTTACATAGCAAGCACCAGGGAATTCAAGTGTTTTTGTCAACTACCTTTTGCCAGGCTAGTTTGGGGAAAACAGTCCCTTTTAACTTTTACTCCTCCAATAAAATATTTTGAGCTTATTTTTCCTTGTCTGTGCTAATTGGGTTGGTTTTCAGCTGATAGAAAGCAAAATGGCATGGTACTTTTTTCCGTAGCCAAGTATTTCTTCATTTGTGCTTAATTCAATTTGATAAGTTAGACAGCCAGTGAAATTAGGCATCAAAGTAGTTCCTCATTGATAATGAAGGTTATATCACCTTGACCAGTGAAGTGACTATTACAGGTCACTTGCTAATTTCATATTTCCCTTTGGCTTCCTGCTGCCCTCAGGACATACAATGTATTTCTAACCTGATTTTACGAGGTTATTTTTGGAGGTGTTTCTTAAAACAGGCATTCTCAAATTTGCCTGTTTAATTAATGACATATTGAACTGATGCCATGGATATAAAAACAAATGCAATGTTTGAATATCATTTTTTCTAATTTGGCTGTGGGTTTAGTTTAGCAAAAAGGAAACAACCCCATTCTTTAGCAAACAAACACTACTAAAGTCCATTATTTTCTCTTATGTGGTTTTCTACTCATTCATTCATTCATTCATTTGCTGAAAACCCCACGATCAACTCTACCTGCCATTTTCTTTTTTTATCTCTGCATTCATCTTCCAAAGCATTTTCTTTTCTTCCTTGCTGTTTTTTTATTAATGGAGGAAGAAAAATATTTTGTATCTGTAGCACTCTGACAGGAAAACCATACTTTCTGCTTTACTAGTCATTGGAAAGGGGAATTTAACTACTTCTGATGCATTCTAACTACAACTGAAAATGTTTTCTTTACCTCAGTCTTTTCACTCTTACCCTGGTTGCAAATAGACTTTATTATTATTATTCATTGTTAACTGGAGGTAAAATATTTCTATTAAGATGAGTTTTAGAATCACCCTCCAGAGCTGTAGAATAATCTTGGTCTAAAAATCTCTGCAGGGCTCAGATAGGTATGATTTCTCTGCTCTCTTCTCCTGCCCCCACATAACTCTGGAGAGAAGGATCAGCCCTTGTTCTGCAAACCCTAAGTCAGAAACTTAGGGCCCATGGTAAAAATAAGATGACAGTGGAACTCATTATTTCTGAACTTGGTTAGGCATTGCCCAGCACAGGTTAATGGAACTAAATGAGTGGGAGTTTTGATTGTTTGTTTTATTTTGTAGAATTCCTCAGAGACTTGATGGCACTAAAATAAAGTACACAGCATTTCCCACAGCCTTTTACCATTGGTATGTCTCGGTACTATTCCATCCTATAGATCCTGAGAAGTTGAAGATTTAACTTGACCCCCAAAACAGTTCAAATGAACTGGGTATTATTCTTTCCACTTTACAGATAAGGAAACTAAGGCCCATAGGAGTAGTCATTTGCTTGACACCAGAAAGCTCCATAGGAGGGTGACTACACTGGAGCCCTTCACTTCCAGTTTCTTCTCCTCTGTCCAGCAGCCTTCTAAAAAGTGGAGAGAGGCGCATCTGTGAAAGGGCAGAGGCTGGATGTCACAGGGCATGTGGGAAAGACAGTACACCAAAGAGAGCTAATGGGAGAGGACATTTTATGTCTAAAATGCACTTATCTCTTCCCCCTTAAGAAGCTTTATGTGCTGGGGATCTGTGAGCTTCGCCTCAAAACTGTTTATGTCAGGCTAAATTTTAATTCAAATCTTCAATTCTCCCTATACTTTCCTGTTACCTGCTCAGAAAATTAAAGTTTTAAAGATTTTGTGGAGGAGACTCCAAGCTCATTCTTTTCCTTAGCAGTAAACCAGGGAAGGCAATGTAAAAAAAACCTGACAAATTTCATGTTTAGCTCAAAAGCACCTGTGGGGAAATGTGAAGTTCATGTAATTGGGTAGTTGTAAGGGCGGCATCTGACACACCTGGAAACAAATGACTTGTAGAATCACCATGTTCATGGAGTCTGTGGGATACTTATACACAGGAAACTGTTCCCTCAAATGAGTCCATCTGGAAGCCATGGGACATTAAAAAGGTATCTTTTTTCTTTTTTTTTTAATAAAGGAAATAGCCTCCTCCAACATATCCCATTGTCAGTTATATACTACTTTTGATGAAGCAAAACCATTCTCCTGTACCTCACTAAAGTAGTTCTGGCACAGTGTGGGTCAGACATTGCTGCTTTCTCCTTTCCTCCTTGGTGTTCCTCTTCCTCCCATAGGATTAAAATGACAAGGTAAATTTCAGCCTGGGCCCTGACAGAATGATCATGAATTCCTAAAAAGGGGGCTGTCCTGAATTAAGTAATATTTTAATGTATCAGTCATCTTGTTAGCATGTCTCACTAATATAAACAGGAAACAGGGTTAGGGGGGAGGGAACAAACCACTTACCATAGTGACTTCTGAAGGAATAAGGAGGGAAAACACTGTATATGGCTCTTCTCTAGGAGCTTCACCTAGATCATTTACATTTAATCCTCTTGATTGCCCCAGGTGAGTCCTATCATCCTTACATTAGAGAATGATTAAAAAAAAAAAAAAAGAAAGAAAAGAAAAAAAAATGGGTACCCAGCCTCAGAGATGCTGGTAAGAGCAGAATGTTAACTCAGGGGTCTATATGACTGAGACAGGGATTCCTTTATAAAATGATCTGTAAAAAATAAAATGGTCTGCAGGCTAAATCTGGATCAGGCATGTAGAACACATAGCCCAAAAGTCAGTTTGGCACTTGAGACAAAAGGAAAAAAAAGGAGCAAAGGAAAATAATGCCCAGCAGTGGGCCTCCGAGTTACAGGCATCTAATTAAAGGTCCAAACCTGAGATAAATACATGGAAACAACAGCAAGCCAAAGAGACTAAATAAAATTAAAGGACAACTATTCAAAGTTTGTGACAACATCTGCATATAAACAAATGGAAGACAGTGAAGCTGCAGAAGAAGAAAATTGTTTAAAAATGGTGGGGCAAGGTGGAAGTCTGAGTAGATACCATATATCGCTCTATGTGAAACACTTGGCATATTCCAGATGTGCTAAGCACTTGACCTGTGTTATCTCATGGAACCTTGAATAACTATGAGAAGTAGATCTCCATTTTTCACATGGAGAAGCTGAGTTTCAGTTCACCAGTCATTAGTGATGAAGTCCAGGTTTCAACCCTGGTTGTCAGAATCCAAAACGCAAGATTAGCCACTAAACTTTCTTCTAGTTAAAGAAGCTCTCAGTACTGGGCTCTCCATCCCATTTGCTTGATTGGTTTAGTTCTTTCCTGAGAGTGGGGGAGCAAGAAAAAGAGTAGGTTTCCTGACCCATGTAGGATCTCTCCTGGACCTTCCCACAAAAGGTTTGTTAACATGGAATTAATGCTACAGGCTTAAGAGGAAAAATGCTGCCTCTTTTTCTTTTGTAACCCTTAAAGTTAGTCATACATTTTAATAATTTGACCTGTTTTTTAAAGCTATACCACATTATTCAGAGCAAAGGCTTGTTCCAATTCCCTATGTAATCTAATCTTAACTTTCCTGTAAATTTTTCCAGGGTATGGGGTGCAGGGAGGACATACTAACTTGAGATCTGTTGAAGTGGGGAGTTTTACACCTAATCCCATATCTCTGTGATCTCAATAGCCCTTAATTAAAAAAATCTATTACTCTTTATCTTCTAAGAGACAAATTGGTTTAAGTATCTCCCATTCTACTGACGAAACTGTGAAAGGAAAGCCACTATGACTCTTAACTAAAATATATGCTCCCATATTATTTTCCTTGTTAGAAGATCACACACTTAAAACAATGCTTGATTTCCCCTAATTTTATTCTAACGGGTTAGGTGTATTCCCTTCCCCCACACCAGAAGATAGTTCCTATCTGCCATTCATTTTGAAATGCTATTTTTTTTTTACTTCTAACACTAATGTATGTTCACTCTAGAGAATCTGGAGAAAAGTATGTATTAGGAAAAAATAGCACATAATTCCACAATTCTAAAAAAAGTGAAATTTTGGTGTACTTCTGATCTTTGATCCCTCTGCATATAGTTATATATGTATATATACATGTAATTATAAAAATATATGTCTTTATGAATATAGAATTAGTATCCTGGTGTATATAGTTTTGTATAGTGGGTTTTTTTCTGTTATACACACAAAAAAAACATTTTTTCCATATTATTAAAGATTCTTGGAAAGCATGATGTTAAAGTCTGTATGATCATCTACTCCATAGAATTCCAGTATTGAAAATTTCTTCTTTTCAGGGGATTTTATCTTTTGTATGTCAAGCACTAGGGGCATGAAAATGAGCCTACTGTGCTCATGCTCTCCAGGTAACAGAGGAAGACGGATGTCCACATAAATGACCACCCAGTATGAGAAATGCCACCAAAACGATGAAATGGTGGCACGAAACCACAAGGAAGAAGAACCCCGGGTCAAGTCGAGAACTCAAACTTCAAATCTCACAATTTAAGCTCAGAATTAAAAACTATTTAATTTTTTTTTTAAGATTTTTATTTACCAATTCATGAGGGACACACAGAGAGGCAGAGACAGGCAGAGGGAGAAAAAGGCTCCCTGTGGGGAACCCAATGTGGGACTGGATCCCAGGACCTCGGGATCATAACCTGAGCTGAAAGCAGAAGCTCAACCACTGAGCAACCCAGGTGCCCCTAATTTTTTTTTTTAACCATTCAACGTCATCCTTGGGGAATTACCTCTCTGGTGAGATAAAACAAACTTGCAAGAGCAGCTTGATAAACCTCCAAGCCCTGGGTCCTCAATGTGGAATATCAGCTGTAGAATACGTAAAACTAAAGTTTTAAATGGATGAGACATTGCCCAAATTTCTTATGTCTACCCCAGTCAGTAGCCTGCTGTCACTATAGGTTGCCTTTGGTGTCTGTGGTATCCAAGAAATAGGAAGCGTATGGTTAGAAGATGGAAACTGATGATGTGAGGTTCTAAAGCACAAATCAATCCTCTGTTCAACTTGCTCCTTGCCTACTAAATACCAATATTTCTGGTTCACTTACTTAGGAAAAAAAAATCTGATTTTTTAGTAGTATAACAAGACCTTCCTTGCACTGGGAATAGAAATAAAGGACAAGCCATACTTTGATGCATCTACTCCCAAACTCACACACTGCACCCTCTTTGTTCCCAAAAGTAAAACAAATCAAAGACATTGGAATGTAACCTAATACAAAATATTTCTGAATGTAGAATCTATTCCTACAGGATTTCCTTTGGATTTTTAATTAGATTAATTCCTGATAATAGAAATTCATGGTACAAGAAGAGATTAGTATGCAAAAGGTATTTTTTTCCCTAATTCTGTTTTTAACAACTATACTGGTGGACATGATACTTAATGGCTTTTTTATCATTGAGAGATATTTCCAAGCCTGTTTTCAGAATCCACCAACCCACCCTGTGAATTATTAGTCTCTCTCTGCACAAAGATCCAAATAACCACTCTACAGATATCTTCATTCCATTCTATTTCCCCAGACAGACAATGTAAGTTATAGTTAGCTTCCCATTAGGAACATAAATTGAGACAAGCAGTTTTGTAGACAATGAAAAAACACTGGACAATCCAAAAGTCAATAGAGGTTTATTGAATGAATGAAGTCATTCATAACTTTGACTTTGGAGTGAATAACAAGTTTTTGCTAGAAGCAGATTCATCTTTCTAGTTAGATTTTTTTTTTGTTTGTTTGGTAATAGATTTTTAGACCACTGCAGAGAGCAAGCCAGCATTTGCTTGATTTGAGAAATGGATAGCATTTCTTTCTTTTTTTTTCTTCGGTACTGAGGCCTTGGGAAATTTTCCCCTAACTTCAATCCAAGTTTGTGGAAATCCTGCAACCCAGGACATCAGCTTGGGCTGAGCCACTCATGGTGAGCCGAGAGTGTTGAGATTGTGGTTAGCTGCCAAGGTGCTATTCTGAACACACAACACAACAGTTCACATTTTCTGGGCATATAACAATTGTTGGTGGGTATGGTAGCTTCAAATACTCCCTATGTACGTAAGTACATATTCTTTATAGGTTAGTGAAATACACTTTCCCAATCCTCAAACTCTGAAAGCTTTGTTCAAAACAATAGTCATCCTTTTTGTTTTGGTTTGGTTTTCCCAGAAAACCTTGCACTTTAAAGACTAGCACGAATTCATAAACAATCTCCCTCACGTTCCATAACTACCAATGGCCCCACTGGAGAGGTGTTTCGGGAAGAGTAATGACACTAAGGGAGGAATGGAAAAAAGCCATACAGTCACCACAAAAATGCTAGACCTTAATAAATAGGGTCAGAAAACTGTGTAGAGGCAGAGTGCAGACAGACATCTACCTCTGTACTATGCAACCATGGCAGGGGTGAGGAAAGAACAAATCAAAGTTGGCTGAAAGAAGAACCTTTTAAACTGATATTTTCTCTCTCCATTTCTCATTTTCTCAAAGCAAAGCTGTCTAATATTTCTGCAATTACTCCCAAACCCTCTCATTTGAGTTTCCTTCTTCATAGGCAATGCATATTTTGGGGAGTAAAGAGAACTTCAGGTTAAACCTAGAAGAATGGAGGGAGGTTCCTAATTTTTAAGTTTTCTTTTAAGATGTCCCAGCCAGTTCCCCAGGGAATATGAAAAGAAAAATCCAGAGCAAAAGTTCTCTCTATGAATTCTAAAGAACTGGATGTAGTTGGCTTGAGCATCCCCTGGCTATTCCTCTTGGAGATTAAAGAATGAATGATAGGGTCTAGAATAGCCTGCAGTCACAGCTGGATGGGTTGGATGATTCAATCCCAACCCTTGTCTTGGATTCTTCCTCTTATAAAAAGAATTGAGCTGCTCATCTTTTCTAACTCACTAGCTTCAATTTTCACATTCCTGCTTCTTGCCTCAGCAGTGTGGCCGCACTATACTGCCTTTTAGATCCTTGGTCAAACCTTTCCACCTTCACACACCACCCTCCTCCCCTAGAATACCCCCTCCTTTCCTTACTTAATCCTCACTCTCTCCTTGCAGCTTCCTTACACAAGGCTTCCACAAACCCTCAGATTAAGTTTGGTCAGCTTATTACATCTTCTCTCGTCGACCTGTTTTCTCCTCCTTAGCAATTGTGAAAGCTGTTAACTTTATGCACTACTTGAAAATACAGGAGGAGGAACCACATTGTCCTTATTCACTAATGAATCTCCAGCATCTTGTTTGTTGTCTTCTCTTCTTCTCCCCAATGAAATAATGAGTAAATATATGTCCAACTTCTGCATCAAGGATTGGGCACTTAGGCATGTGGTCTTCCCTCTTCGTGTGTCTATGTCCCAATCTCATCTTTTTAGATGGACTCTAGTCATACCCTAATGATATCACTTTAATTTGATAACCTCTTTAGAGGCCCTATCTCCAAATAAAGCAACATTTTGAGATACTGGGAGGTTAGGTTCCATTATATGATTTTGGGGGGTATAAAATTCAACTCTCAATAGCTCTGCTTGGGAGGATTGCTTGGATGGGCACATACAATTATGCCAGCTATCACTATGAACTCTAGGTTGAACACATTCTTCATAATGACATACAAAGTGAGTTTTCCTTTCCTTATTCATCAAATGGGTGCCTCTGACTTGATAGCATCTCGTAGAGGCTTAGTGAGAAATGAATGTTGGAGGAACCTTCACAGACTAGTTTAATACCCTTCTTTTACAAATAGAGAAACTGGAAAAGATATCAACCTGGCCAAGATCTCCTAACCAGTGAGTGGAGAAATTGAAACTGAATTTGAGAAATAGGAATACCAAAATTTGCTCCCAGATTTTCCTTCTTGCATTATCAGGATAATTGCCTCAGGTTTATTTCATTTACTCTATCAGGGATGAATAATCTGTGGTCATATATAGTTCTGGTTATGAAAATCTTACAATTAGCTCCTATAATATATGTGTAAAGTTCCTTTTTGTTTTTACCCTAACATCTTGCCCAAATCAATATGCTAAGCAAAACCATAGGCATCACCTCCCCAAAGGCCATGTCTATTCTTCTTAAAAAGGGACATTTATTCAAAATACAGAGGACTTAATTTTTTCCTGCCATCTTGTGAAGGAAAAAGACGGCAAGACAGAAATAATCTATCATAATCTTTTCAAATACCAAAGCATTCTGCTTCCTATGCAGTCATTTTTAACCTGGGCCATGACTGTAAATGATAGCTGTCATAGAGAAAAGAATTATTAATCCAAAAAGATTCAGCTCTCACATATAGAATTCCCAAAACTAACTTAAATTCATGAATCATAAAATGTATCTGACATGCCACCAAATCCTCCCAGGCTCAAAGCTCAAAGGCTCTCAGAATTTCACTATACACACATCCTGAGGAATTTCAATTTAGGCTGAAACAAGGTCTTGTGGTGGAGCGATATACATCATAGCCACAGAAAGTTCCTTTCACTCCATAAGATTCTTCCCTTGAATACATATTGAGCATCTACTGTATGCTGGATGTGATCGCAGGGTGGTGTGTTTACTAGTTAAGGTCAGGTAGCATGCTGGGGAGGATTGACATTACCTTACCCCTGAGATGCATGAGAAAGGAAGAAATTCACTCCAGATCTCAACTACATAAGTGAGAATCCAGAAGAGCATCCTTGATTCAAGTGGCTGCCACTTTCAAACTCAGGGAAAAAAATGTCAAGGGAATTTAGAGAAAGGAGAGATCACTTAAAACTGTGGAGAGCAAAAAGTAGGAATTACTTTTATGGATGCATTTAGAGAGGAGGGAGCACTGTGACAGGGCATCAGAAAATGAAGAACACTTGAACTTTAGAAAGTGGGGGAAGAGTAAGGAAAAGAATGAGGCAAAAGACATCTGAAAGAAAATGTAAATTATGGGATACTTGCAATAGTGCTTGCAACAGTAATTAGTTCAGTTGCTGGATCAGGAGAGAGAAGTGGTAAAAACAATCTTTCATTGAGCCTTTGTAGTGTTCTAGGCACAATAGTGAGCACTCCATATGCATAATTTAATTTAATCTTCAAAAAACCCCATGAATTAGGTTCTATTATTTTCTCCATGAGAAAATGGAAAGGCTTAGAAAG